ATTGATAAGCTTGGCTTTTTTTTCTTTTCTCAGGTAAAGTTTCCTGCCCTTTTGGGCTCTCTGTAGCTCTTTACCCACACTCTCCCAAGTGTTTCCCTCAGGGTGCTCTGACCCACTGTCTTTTACTAGTTTGAAGAGACAGAGCTTAGAAGAGGTTTTTAGGAACTTGTCCCTGCCTCCTGCATTGCAGGGAGGATTTTTAAAGCTTGAAAGAACTTAGGTTTTGCTGTCTTAAGAGGTTTGTTGTTTTCCCTTTGAGCTAATCACAGGTGATCCCCATACTAATATCTTCAGGTGATTCTAATTTTTGTCCTTCTGAGAGAGAAAGTTAAAGGCTTTAGTTTTTAAGTTTAAGAGCTTTTGAGAAAGATGAAGGCTTTTTAGAGAGATTTTCCCCCAGATTTTCCAAGAAAAGCTTTTAGTTTAAGAGAAAGATTTTTTTTTCCCGAAGAGAGAAAGACCAACTTTTCCCAAAACTTCCCAACAAACTTTTTGGCTTTTTACACCCCCATTTTTGCCTCAGGGAGAAAACACTTTCTCCTGCTGCTTGGACTTAGCATTTCAGCTGTCCCCAGGACAAAAGCTTCCCCATAAACTCAAAGAAGAGTTTTACTACCCCAAAAGCCCAAAGAAAGATTTTTCCCCAGTTTGCGTTTATAGCCCCCAAAGTTAGAAAATTGTAGTTTTTCTGTCTAGTTGCCTTATTTTTTTCTACACGATCTTACACTTCTAAGTTTTTCCTACACTATATTACTATGCTATACCTTATATTTTTCACAGATAGAAATTGAGAAAGGGATAGAAGATAGAAAATTTTGACAGAAGAGAATTTCGCTGCAGCATCGGACATCCTTCCAGTCCGCTTTCCTTTTCTCTCAAGGATAAAACCCCTGCCTCTCAAAAAATATATATATATATTTTTTATATATAAAAATATATATATATTTTCCATAACACTGGCATGCCTTTCCACTGGCAGGGCTGACTCACACTTTCACCAAAAACTCTAATAAAACTATTATTTTCCTTTATCTTTAGTCCCTATTACTTTGTCTTTAGTCCCCCTTTTTTTGTCCCCCCTTTTTTCTTTAGTCCCTGTTCATGGCGCCATTCTGTGGGGCGTTTACCCAACCACCCCCACAGTTCCCCAGAATTTTCTTGAGTGCGAGCAGCAGGAAATATTAGATAGATTTATTGAGGAGAATATTGCGGAGATAAACAGAAAATAAAGGATAGCCTCGAGAGGGCCTAGAACCTTTTCCAACAGGCCCTGACTGTCTCTGCCCCAGGGTTGTTTTTTTTTTGTTTTTTTTTGTTTTTTTTTTTTTTTGGTTTTTCGAGACAGGGTTTCTCTGTGTAGCTTTGTGCCTTTCCTGGAACTCACTTGGTAGCCCAGGCTGGCCTCGAACTCACAGAGATCCGCCTGACTCTGCCTCCCAAGTGCTGGGATTAAAGGCGTGCGCCACCACCACCCGGCTGCCCCAGGGTTTTTATAGAGACCAAGGGGTGGAGCAAAAGACCTCCTCCCCCAGCACAGCCAAGTGCAGACCATCCCAGACACCTGCACTCAGGCCCGTGGTCCTAATCATCCTCTATGCGGACCTGCTGGGTAAAGCCACGAGGAATAGGCTCCCACATATGTTTTTATAGCACAATCATGCATAAAATATTATAAGTATTCTAGAAATGATTTGAAATATATGGAAGTATGTGCATAGGTTATATGTAAATATTACATCATGTTATGTCATCTATGAATTTTGATATCTGTAGGGATCTTGAGATCAATCCTAATGAGTTTTGGGAGACTAGTATATAAATATCTTGTATATACCTTTACTTTTGTATTGCACCAATATTTTGTTTTTATTTAAAAACATACTGATATCAAATCAATATAAATGAAGAATACAATATGTGTATTTGTTAAAACTTAGTCATAAAACCACAGTAATGTTGTGTGTGGTAACCATCATTCGTGGGGATACAGCTGCATATAACGTCATTAGAGCCTGGCATAGACAATACTTGGTAGAGTTAGCAGCTGATGAAACACATTTAGTCAAAAGGATAAAGAAATCCCAGAAAGGAACAGTCTCCTCGGGGTGCTGACACTGCCCTGTACTGGGAATTAGTGTCAGCACTAATCTGTTTTTTCATATAGTTTCATGATCCGTTCTAGTTTTTAAAATATCTTAATTTTACCAAGTATTATACTAAAATATCATTCATGCATCCATTCATTCCACAACTATTTACTATATATCTGATGTAAGATAGTATTTTTATTGCTATATCACAAATCATTACTAATACAGCAACATGAAAGAAGACACATTTATAAACTCACAGGAGCTTTTATTTAACTCTCTGAGATGTAACCGTCTTGTTAAATAAGAAGCACAGAGCCAATGCAGAGATGAAAGCCCAAGAAGTCAGAGCAATAGCTAAGAGCTAAAAACCTTACCCTTTTGCTGTGGGATGGTCTGTATGTCAAATGTGTTGCTGATTGGTCAATGAATAAATCACTGATTGGCCCGTGGCCAGGCAGGAAGTGTAGGCGGGACAAGGAGGAGAATAGAGCTGGGAAGTGGAAGGCTGAGTGGGAGAGACACCGCCAGCCGCCATCAGGACAAGGAAGATGTAAAGTACCGGTAAGCCACAAGCCACGTGGCAAGGTATAGATTAATAGAAATGGATTAATTTAAGCTGTAAGAACAGTTAGCAAGAAGCCTGCCACGGCCATACAGTTTGAAACCAAAATAAGTCTCTGTGTTTACTTGATCGGGTTTGAGCGGCTTGGGACTGGCGGGTGAGAGAGATTTGTCCTGACTGTGGGCCAGGCAGGGAAACTCTAGCAACACCCTTTACTGCCGCTGCTGTCCTCCTCAGCAAGAGACCTACATCCTGTGTGTTTGTCCTTTTTATTGACTTTCTATTCTGCCTTCTCATTGGTTGTAAACCCAACCACATGACCTCCTCGTCACTGCCCATCTATACAGACCTCCAGGTCTTCTATGATTGGTATTGAGATTAAAGGTATGTGTCTCCATGCTGGCTGTATCCTTGAACACACAGAGATCTGCCTAGCTACTCTCTGCTCTGGGTCTTAGCAGACTGGAATGTATTGCTGGCTCTACTACCTGAGGCTCTGGCTATTGCCCCAGCTTGTTTATGTGTTGGCAGAATTCATTTGCTCTAGTTGCAGGACTAAGTTTCCTGATGCCTTGCTGATTGTACACTGGGGGCTGCTCTCAGATCTTGTCCACTGTTCTCTGCTACACAGGGCCATATTTACAATGCTGTTGCTTTCTTTTAGCTAGCCAGTGATTTTTTTCTTTGTGGTATCTTTTATCATTATCAGAGAAGACTGTTTTTAAAGATTCTTGTAATGGGGTCAGATCTATCATAATAATATTTATATCATAAGGTCAGTGATCTCAGCGATTAATTACATTTATAAAATCCAATTACATTAATATATAATACAGTTAGCATATATGCAAGTGGAAGGAGGTATGAATACATTTTGCTATGTGTCCTAACACACTCAATGGAGAGAAAAGAGAGAGAGAGAGAGAGAGAGAGAGAGAGAGAGAGAGAGAGAGAGAGAGAGAAAGAGAGAGAGAGAGAGAGAGAGAGAGAGAGAGAGAGAGAGAAATTCTCACTTATATGGAGTGTATTTTCTAGGAAGTTGAAGGGAAAAACATTTATACCACTTTTTTCAGCATCCCATTTCAGGTTTTTTTTTTTTTTAAGACATTAGAATAGACCATACATGTTTTACATTTGTTATTTTTTGTTAGTATTCAATTAACTTCATTTTTTTAACAGATGGCATTTTTTCTGTTTGTTTTTATAATGTGTCTGTCACAAAAATGCCTACACTGAGCATTTCTTTCTTATTTTAGATTCATGGAATTTCAGGTTTGGTAGTAGGGAGGAAAAATTAAAGATTATGCCATGATTTATTAGCATTTAAGGGAAAGGAAGTTGAGAAAGTCTTTTCCTGCCTGTACTTAGTAAAATACCAAGGTACATGTCCATTTCTTTTGAATCATATACTTCTCAAGTGATAACACATGTGGCCATCCCTAACAAGTGCCTTTCTTGGAATAGAACAGAAACTTAAATAGCAAGAATGGGCAGGATACCAAGGAAATGGATTAATCAGGCAGATGGTGGCTGTTCTGGGGAAAGTCTGAGTAAGCCCTAACTGCCCCAGTGAGCTGAAAAGGGCCACCAGTGGCATGGGTTTTCTTTGAATGTCTCATAGTACAATGAACTGCCAGGTCTACATACAGATTTTCCAGTAGATTTTATTATAAAATTTTGTTGTTTCTTTCATTACAATGTTTTTCTTTATAAAAGCAAACTTCTGCCTAAAATATAACTTTTTCATAATTAAGATAGCACAATAGGTTTCTTTGTTTCTTCCAGTATATTTTCAAGTCTTTGCCATACTTTTTGAGGCCTATTGATCTTGACAGTATTTAACCATTTTGCTGTGAATTCTTTTTAAATTTAATAAATGTAGGTGTACAAGTAACAGGACTCTGCCTATATAAAAATAAAAGTCATAGTTAATTAAAATGTATTTGGTGAAGAATGGAATTTTGCATGAAACAGGCAAAAAATGCTAACAGGAAACCAGAAACGGAATAAAAACACAAAAGGTATCTCTGGCACAATGCCCTGGAGGTCAGCAGCCATGGCCAAGAGCATGAGGTAATTTCAGAAAGAAGAAAACACCCTGGGCTGGGTCTTTGTCACTCTGACCCTAAGATATTAGTGTTTGTATAAAATATGGCCTGTATTGTGATTTATAAAGATGTGAGTTGGATGCTTCATTTACTTCCATCTCAGTGTACACTAGTAGAACACAACAGCTCTTGTTATCCCCAGTCTCCAGATGAACAAATGTGAACCATAGACATATTAGGTTGCTAAAATTCAAACAGTTGAGAAGCAACTAAAACTGACTCTTTTTTTTTTTTCAGCCCAGCACACTGTGACTGAAGATTAGAACTCAGAAGAGGGTTGCAACTGACTTAGTCAAAGAAACAAATTTGTTTTCATTCATTATCTTAATGCATATGCAGCATGAAATTTGAATGTATTCTTAATCACAGCAAGCTGCTTTTATTTTACAAGGTAATGGTTTGGTGGTATTATTATTATTATTTTATAATCCCAAACACACCTAGCATCCACCACCACCACCCCAAAACGAAACTTTTGTTTTCAGTATCTTTTGGAATATGATGAATGTGAATAGTTTTATAAAAATTCCATAGCTTTGTCTCTCTGTATCAATTGAAATCAAAAGCTACACCCAGGAAATAATGAATCTGTGGTACTTTGTAAAGATGGATCATCTATACTGAATTCATGATGCTAAAAATGCCTTCCTCAAACATTGGAGATAATTGGGAAAAGATAGGAGGAGGATTTGCAAAGGCAATTAAAAGGAAGTAAGCCTGGAGGCTGCACTGTAAGCTGCTCCTCTTTCCAAGAGTGCAGCTGTGATTTTAAAAACACAGTTGTTTTGTGTGAGTCTGACCTCTTTCTCTGTCACAGAACCAGAGTGTTCTATATGGGGTGCGAGAAGGTGACTCAGCTAGTAACGTGCTTGCTGTGTAAGCATAAGGACGGGAGTTCAGATTCCCAGCACCTATGGAAAAAGCCAAGTGCAGCAGTACACCCATAAAACCTCGGCACTAACAAGGCAGAGGCAGGTGGATCCCCTGAAGTCCCTGAACAGCCAATACAGTTGACTGCAGCATACACAATCGCAGACTTCTAGTTTCAGTGAGAGACATTGTCTCACAAAACAAACAAAAATAAAGTGGAGAGACATTGAGAAAGACACCAGACATTCACCTCTGTCAGCTACATGCACACATGTGTACATGTAACTCCACATATGTGTATATATACACAACTACACACATACAGACATAAATAATACTATTGGTGTATAAATGGGAGTGAATAGAATGTGCCTAATATCCCAACATAGATAAATATATAGTATGCATACCTTCTTCTAGAGAACAAAGAGTCTGATATATATAGTTCTCACTATATATATTCTTGCATTTTTGAGGATAGTTAGAAATTAGAAATACAAAAATATTATTTACAAATATGTATGTATATATATATATATATATATATATATATATATATATATGGAAGTCTTCCATGTTGTTTACGGACCTGTATTTATTTAATGAGTACAAAATCACAGCCACAAAGAAGTAGTAACTGGAGGCAATTTTACTGTTCCTGCATTATGACTGCAACCTATCACATGAAGTCAGATGAGGAATTTTCCACTGTAGTTTTATGGTGGTGTTCAAGAAGTTTTGGACTTTGGAGTATCACTGTGACTTTCAGATTTTTGGATTAAAGATGCTGAAGTTTAAAGTATACAGAAATTCACCAGAAGAACAGGCAGATGATAAAAGGATGACAAGCTCATCCCATAGGTAGTAAGTGAAACCCAGGTCTTGGAAGAAAATATAGCCTGATTGTATCTATTTTTTTTTTCTCAAGGCTGAAGCCAGGGCCGTTCCTGTGTTGAATAAGCACTCTACTCTAAGTTATACCCTGAGCCTCTGACTTGTAATGCTACTCATAGTATTCTTAAGTCTATTTGGGAAAGAAGGTAAATTGACAACATCCTCAGAAGTGTAATGAAGTCATGTTCCTCTGTTAACAATTTGAAGAGGAATGAAGAGATAATTAGAAGAACAAAAACCTTGAGAATAAAAAGCTCCTTCAACTTTTTCCAAAATCTCAGTTGGGAACTATTTTCTCCTAGGGTTCCATAATGAACTGATATCTGGAAAAAAAGAAATTACAGTCTGAAAATGCTATATCAAATTCTGTCAAACTTAAAGCACAAATGCCAGAGACCTGAATGTAAGTAATATATGTAAGAGCTCATGGGATAGAATGACCACGGGCTGCCTGAGAGTAAACTACTTGCTTTAGAATTTCAGTAAAATTAAAAAAAAAAAAAGCAATCAAAGTAAAACTCAAAAATTGGGAAATTATAGCAAACATTTCTAACAAGTATTAAATATAGTCAAATATAGAGCTAAAATTAAACAGTGTTGATATTTTGCTGTAGGATAAAGTGTAGATAGTCTAGTTAAAGAAAAAGTATCAATAAGATGTTAACAGAAGCTAACTCTCCCTCTCCTAGCAGCCATCAACTCTTGAAGACTTATAAAATCAGCCTGCATATGTCTACATATTTTAAATGGAAATTTTGTCAAAAGTATAATTGAATAAATAACACAATTCCCCAAACAACATTTATATATGTAATCTTACTTACATAGAAATAAAATACAAAATTTATATGCTATTCATATACACATACTATATATGCATATGGAATGTGGGTTTCTAGTAAGAATCAAAGTTTAGCATAGGAAAGCTTGAGATATAAGGATTGAATTTTACTTGAAATTTTATTTTCTGATTTTTAAAAAGTCTCCAAAGGTATTATATTTGTATTATTTAGGTAAATAATTTCTAAAAAAGTAAAATATCCATTATGTTAGCAATGAAGTTGGAACAAACTTTGGAAGATAATTTCTAAAATTGTTAAATGTATCTTTTATTTTTCCTTTATAAAATATTTAACTTTTCCATGGTGAGCCTGAATTAATTTGTAAATTAATTTTTTTCTTGCTAGGAGACGTAGCTATATAGTGGTTGGCTGTATCAGTCAATTGCAGATACTTCCTCAGACATTCGCCTTCGGCTCTGGCCACCACCATTGTAATTAACCTAACGTAGACGCTCTTTGCTATACCTAGACAACCGATTCCCAGGGCCATGGGCTAACAGTACCATGTGCTATATCTATGTCAATTTTCTCTCACATTCCTGTCTGTACCTTCCTGGTGCATTTGATCAGGGGAGACCATAGAACCCATTTGTTATGCAGGCATAGGTAAGTTAGCCCCAGGAGACAGTCATTTCCTGTGGGAAGAAATTTTCCCAACTGGAAACAGAACTGAATTTAAATTCTTCTCTTTTTATTTTTGACAGATTTCATGGAGTTTTAATGATTTAGACAGCCTTTTGGATGATGCCCTATGACAAGTAATCAGTTGGGCTTGATTCTAACAGTTACAATTTGATAAGTATTCATTCTAACACACCTTGTGTCATACCCCTTTGTTCTCTCATTTTTTCTGGGATTGGGCTCCATGATAACACAATACTAGCATACTATGCATCCTGGAGAGTCTATGAGAAGATTGGCCTAATGAACTCAGAAAATAACTTCATATTTAGTCACTTTTTTTTAGTAAAAACTATTAAAAAGGGAGAGCTGAGCAAATGCATGGGAGAGATACATAGGATAAGGTATGGGAGAACAGGAGTGAAGCTGGGAGTTGCACCCCAGGAACTTCCACTCATCAGCTATTGGGAGGCTCTTTCTAAGCCTACTTTTTTAAAAAAAATTTTTATTGAAGATTCATTCATGACTTGTTGCAGAATTGACCATCTGTGATCAACTCAAGCTTTAGCCCCTTTATCCTTTCCAGAGGTTAATGGGTATAGTTAAAAATTCCAATCCTCTAAACACCCATGAGTATCCATCCTAATATCACCAAAGGATCATCTGTAAGAAGCCATCTCATTGCTAAAACGAGGCAGTCTTGTCCCTTTGGAGGTTGCAAAGGCTTTACCAGAGCCCAGAAACCCTACAGAGGAGGTCTGAATATTCCAGCGTAGCTGAGGCACAAGAAAAGACCTTGAAACAGCCAGTACCAAGTCAAAATAGGTCCTTGTAGAGGAAATGAATAAAATCCTTGTCTTGAAAAACCAAAAAAAAAAAAAAAAAAAATCAAGGAAACCACAAACAGTTAAAGGAAACTAATAAAACTGTTAAAGAACTGAAAATGGAAATAGAAGCAACAAAGAAAACACAAACTAAAGAAATCCTGTAAACAAAAAACTTAGGAATGTGAATAGTAACTATAGAGGAAAGCTTCACCAACAGAATACAAGAGATGGAAGAGAGGATCTCGGGCATTAAAGATATGGTAGAAGAAAATGATACATTACTCACAGGAAACACTTAATTTCCTGACACAAAACATCTGGAAAACCATTAAAAGACCAAACCTATGAATAATAAGAATAGAGGAAGAAGAAAAATCCCCAGCTCAAAGGTCCTGAAAATATTTCAACAAAATCATAGAAGAAAATTTTCCTGACCTAAAGAAGGGCAAGAAGGATACAGAACACCAAATAGATTGGACAAGATAAGAAAATTCCCTTACCACATAATAATAAAACACTACATATACAGAACAATTAAAAATATTAAAAACTGAAAGAGAAAAAGACCAAGTAGCATATAAAGGCAGACCTGTTAGAATTATACCTGACTTCTCAATGGAGACTCTAAAGGCCAGAGGTCATAGATGTAATGCAGACTCTAAGAGACCACAGATGTGATCTCAAATTACCATACCCAGCAAAACTTTCAATCACCATAGATGGATAAAATAAAATATTCGATGGTAAAATCAAAATTGAACAATATTTATCAATACATCCAGCCAAATAGAAAGTACAAGAAGGAAAACTCCAAAAGAAGGAGGTTAACTATACCCATGGAAATACAGGAATAAATAATCTCACACTAACAAAATCGAAAAAGGGAAACACGCACACTTGCATGCACACACTACCACCACCACCCTCATCACCACCACTGCCACCAGCAAGAAAATAATAGGGTTTAGCAATCATTGCTCATTGATATATATCAATATCAATGGTCTCAATTCCCCAACAAAAAGACACAGACTAACAGAATGGATGGGAAAACAGGATCCACTTCTGCTGCCTCCAAGAAACACCCCTTAACATCAAGGATAGACATTAGGGTAAAGGGTATGAAAAAGATATTCTGAGCAAATGGTCCCAATAAGCAAGCTGGTGTAGCCATTCTAATATCTAGCAAAATAGCCTTCAAAACTAATCAAAAGAGTTAGGGAAGGATACTCCATACTCATCAAAGGAAATTCCACCAAGTTGACATTTCAATTGTTAACATTTATTCCTCAAATATAAGGACACTCAAGTTTGGAAAAGGAACACTACTACACCTTAAATCACATATTGTGATTTAAATTACTGTGAGTGGGAGACTTCAACACCTTACTCTCATCAATCAACAAGTCATTGAGACAAAAACTAAACAGAGAAATACTAGAGTTAGCAGATGTTATAAGCCTAACAGATATTTAAAGAACTTTTTACCCAAACACAAAAGAATATACCTTTTTCTCTGCTCCTCATGGAACTTTCTCCAAAACTGAAAATGTACTTGGTCACAAAGCAAGTCTCAATAGATTCAAGAAAGGTGAAATAAATCCCTGCATCCTATCAGACCACCGCAGATTAAAACTAGACATCAACAACAGAAAAACCAGAAAGCTTTACAAACTGATGGAAACTGAAAAACTCTACTGAATGAAAAATGAATCAAAACAGAAATAAGGAAATAAATGAAACACTTTCTATAATTCAATGAAAGCAAATGCACAGCATATCCAAACTTATGAAAGAGGTGTTAAGAGGAAAGTTCATAGCATTGAATGTCTACATAAAAAAAATTGGAGAGGTCTTTTATTGGCTTGGACTTTTAATGACTGCTTCCATTTCACTAGGGGTTACAGGTTTATTTAAATGGCTTATCTGATATTGATTCAATATTGGTAAGTGGTGCCTATTGAGAAAATTGTCCATTTCTTTTAGATTTCCACTTTGGTGGAGTACAGGTTTTTAAAGTATGTCCTTATGATTCTCTGGATTTCCTCAGTGTCTGTTGTTATGCCCCCCTTTTCATTTCTGATTTTGTTAATTTGGATAGTCTCTCTGTGTTGTCTTTTAGTTAATTTGGATAAGGGTTTGTCTATCTATTGAATTTCTCAAATAAGCAACTTTTTGTTTCACTGAGTTTTTGTATTGTTCTCTTTGTTTCTATTTTATTGACTTCAGCTCTCAGTTTGATTATTTCTTGCTATCTACTCCTTTTTTTTTTTAAATTTTTCGAGACAGGGTTTCTCTGTGTAACAGTCCTTGCTGTTCTAGAACTTACTTGGTAGTCCAGGCTGGCCTCGAACTCACAGAGATCCGCCTGCCTCTGCCTCCCGAGTGCTGGGATTAAAGGCGTGCGCCACCACCTCCCGGCCTTATCTACTCCTTTTATGTATGCTTACTTCTTTTTGATCTAGAGCTTTTTTCAGATGTGCTATTAAGTTACTAATATTTTTGATGAAGAAGCCAGAAATATACACTGGATAAAAGCATCTTCAACAAATGGTGCTGGTCAAATGGATGACTGTGTATAGAAAGATGCAAATAGATCCATATTTATCACCCTGTGCAAAAGTCAAGTCCAAGTATACCAAAAACCTCAACATAATTACACTGAGTGTGATAGAAGAGAAACTAGAAAATAGCCTTGAATTCATTAGGACAGGAGATAACTTTCTGAACAGAATACCAATAGCACAGGCAATAAGACCAACAATTAATAAATGGGACTATATGAAACTGAAAAGCTTCTGTAAGGCAAAGGACACTGTCAATAGGACAAAGCAGCAGCCTACGGAATTGGAAAAGATTTTTTTTTACCAACTCAACAGAGTATTCTCAATAGAGGAAATTCCAATGGTTTAGAAACACTTAATGAAATGTTCAACATTCTTAGCCATCAGGGAAAGGCAAATCCAAATGACTCTGAGATTCCATCTTAACACCCGTAAGAATGGCTAAGATCAATAACATAAGTGACATCTCATGGTGGAGACGATGTGGTATAAGGTAACACCCCATTACTGGTAGGAGTGCAAACTTGTATAGCCACTTTGGAAATCAATATGGCAGTTCCTTGGAAAATTGGAAATCAATCTACCTTAAGATCCAGCTAGGGCCGGGCGGTGGTGGTGTACACCTTTAATCCCTTTAAACTCGGGAGGCAGAGGCAGGCGGATCTCTGAGTTCGAGGCCAGCCTGTTCTACAGATAGAGTTTCAGGACAGGCTCCAAAACTACACAGAGAAACCCTGTCTCAAAAACAAACAAACAAACAAACAGATCCAGCTATACCATTCCTGGGCATATACCCAAAGTACAATTCATACTACTACAAGGACATATATATTATAGCTGTTCGTTTAGTTTTAATAGGGCTCCTGAATGTGAGATGAGTGGGTCTCTGACTCTTCTGCCATCTCTTGGAACTCTTTTCCACCTGTTGGGTTGTTGTGTCCAACTTCAATATGATAGTTTTTGCTTCATCTTATTATATTTTATTGTGTCATGTTTGGTTGTTATCTCTTAGGAACATGTTCTTTTCTAATAAGAGACAGAGGGCTGGAGAGATGGCTCAGAGGTTAAGAGCACAGGCTGCTCTTCCAGAGGTCCTAAGTTCAATTCCCAGCAACCACATGGTGGCTCACAACCATCTGTAATGAGATCTGGCTCCCTCTGACATGAAGGCATACATGCGGACAGAGCACTGTATACAAAATAAATAAATCTTAAAAAGAGAGAGAGAGACAGAGACAGAAAGGGAGTGGACCTGGAGGGGAAGGGAGGTGAGGAGGAACTGGGAGTAGAGGAAAGGGAAAGCATAATCAGGATATATTGTATGAGAAAAGAATATTTTCAATAAGGGAAATGAAAATAAAGTTGCGTGTGTGTATACACATGAACATGTGTGCACATTTATATGTGTGTGTAGGTGTTTGGTGTTTATATGTGTATGTAGGTGTGTACACACATATGGAGGTCAGAGTGGGATGTTCTAATCACTTGTCACCTAATTTTTAGAGATAAGATTTCTCACGGAGCCTAGAGCTCACTATTTGGTGTTACTAGCTGCTCAGCAAGCCTCTTGTTTCTCCAACTTGCTTTTACTAAGATTACATGTGTGTACCAGTATTTCAGCTCTTTATATGGGTACAAGGGATCCAAAATGAGTTCATTGCACTTGCACACCAAGCACTTTTCTGCCGGAGTCTTCTCCCTAACTTCTTAAGGCAGTTTTAATTCATATTTTCTGATGGATAAGAATAGACCACTTTCAGAAATATTTACTTGACCATTTTTGTTTATTCTTTTGAGAACTGTCTGCTCAGTTCATTAATTCATTTATTGATTGGAAACTGGATTTTGTTTTTTGTTTTTAATTGTTGCGGTTCTTGCTGTTGTCTAGAGACATTAACCTCCTGTCTGATGTTTAGCTGGCCACAGTGTTTTTGAATTCTGTAGTTTGTCTCTTCACTGGTGGTTATTTCCTTTCTGTGCAGGCTTAAAATTTCTCATAGTGACATTGGGGTTGTTTCCTGTGCGATCTCCTTCCTTTGCAGCAAGTTCTTGTGTATGTCTGTATCTTAAAGTGCTTCTCTCTTACACTTTAAACATTTTTGGGTCTTATATTAAGGCACTTGACCCACTGTCAGTTGCTTTTGGTGTAGGATAAAAGATAATCTAATTTTAAACTTCTGCCTGTAGATATTCTGTTTCCCCACCAACATTTGTTGAGAAAACATTTTTTTCAATGTATGTTTGTCAAACACTGAGTTGCTGTAGCTGTGTGGGTCCATTTCTGAGTCTTCCACTGTATTCCATCGGACTACATGTATGTTTTTGTGCAAATGCCATGTTGTCTTTGTCACTATGTACCCGTTAGTATTGTTTCTATGCTTTGTGTTTTTGGTGTCTTGACTTAGTGGAAGAGGTTTTCCTCTGTAATGAATATTTGGAGTCCTAACTAACTATTGTGTTTGGATGT